GATTCTTACCTCAAAAAATTATTTTGTTCAATCTTTTTTTTCCTCCACCATCACCAGCTTTCCTTAATATAAGCTGCCAAACTTTATTTTTTAAAAATTTGATTTGAGAGAGAGAAAAATATCGATTTGTTATGCCACTTGTTTATGCATTCATTGGTTGATTCTTGTATGTGCCCTGATTGGGGATCAAACCTGAAACCTCAGTGTATCGAGACGATGCTCTTAACCAACTGAGCTACCCTGACAGGGTACTGTCCTTTCTTAACTATACCAGTCTTACTAGTACATTTACTCTTGATTTATTCAAATCCCATCTCTACACTTCAGCCAGTGCTTAACACCCTTCAAATGCCTGTTCATTATTCTTTAAAAAAGTCAAAATTCCTTAAGAGGACCTCTTTGGCCTGGCCCTTAGTGACATCTCCAGCTTTACCTCAGACAATGTTCCCGTTTGCTCATAGGTCATTGTTCAGCCATTGAGCTACACCAGCCAGAGCAAAAGGCTCATTTTTAAATGGAGATAAGTTCATCTATTAAAAACAGATTACAGTCCTAGCCAGTTTGGCCCAGTGGATAGAGCATCAGCCTCGGGACTGAAAGGTCCCAGGTTCGATTCCGGTCAAGGGCACATGCCCGGTTGTGGGCTAGATCCCCAGTAGGGGCATGCAGGAGGCAGCCAATCAATGATTCTCTCTCATCATTTATGTTTCTATCTCTCCCTTTCTTTCCTCTCTGAAATCAATAAAATATATATTTTTTTAAAAATTGGCATCTTAAAAAAAAGAAAGAAAAACAAAACCAATGACCAATTGGATACCCACATCCAAAAAACCCCCAAAAAACCCAAAAAGAAACCACACACAAAAAAAACAAATTATGGTCTAGGTCAGCGGTTCTCAACCTATGGGTCACGATCCCTTTGGGGGGTGAATGACCCTTTCACAGGGGTCGCCTAAGACCATTGGAAAACACATACATACTTACATATTGTTTTTGTGATTAATCACTATGTTTTAATTATGTTCAATTTGTAACAATGAGAATACATCCTGCATATCAGATATTTACATGATGATTCATAACAGTAGCAAAATTACAGTTACGAAGTAGCAACGAAAATAATGTTATGGTTGGGGGGCACCACAACATGAGGAACTGTATTAAAGGGTCGTGGCTTTAGGAAGGTTGAGAACCACTGGTCTAGGTTATGAAGAGCTTTCCAATTTGGGGCATCTCTTGTTGATAGTGTTATGAAGGAGTATAGTAAAGGAGCTTTAATTTGATCTAATTTAATATCTCAAGCTACTGATACAAGGCTTCAGCATAGTGATACCAGCAATCTGTACGAAAGGAAGCATTTAGATAAAATTAAATTTTCTTTTGAAAAAATTTCCAAATACTTTACCTATTTTCACCTGAGTGAGACAGTTAGCAATCTTCTTAAGTATGTTGTCCATCTCATCTATTTTTAACTGAAGTTTCTCCCTCTCATTCTAAACACACAATATTATAGACTGTCAAGTTAAAGTTCCAAACAAAACATTATAACATTATCATGTTTCAAACAGCTGATATAACTGCTATGTCTAAATTATAAACAAGGCAGATCTTAAAATGAAGGTCAAAGTTGCCAGTCTAGACTTAAATTTTACTTAAAAAAAAAAAAAAAGAGTTCATTAAATAATGTTCTATGGTCAAATGAATATGGAAAACACTGGCCCAACAGAATTATGGTATATTTTTTTCTTTTTAGACTTTTAAAGAAAGACATTAATGAGGTATCTATTATAATTTCTCTAAAGGGAATATTACATGTTACATTTCCCACATTTTTTAATAGAAAGTTTTTAAATAGGGAACCTTTCTTAAGGAACAATCATTTTGGGACATGCTTCTTTAAACACATACACAAACGTACACAGCTAGGTATGTACTATATGGAAAATAATACTAGAGTATAGTCCTTAGCAATGAAAGATCAGAATCCTATATTGTTTTATTTCAATATGTATAATGGATAACAAATTTGAGATAAGAAATAGGCCCATATTAGTAAAATTACCATAAAGTAATTTTAACACATTAAGTGCCCTGACACTATACTTTCCATCCAGAAGACAAAAGAGTTTGGGCACTTAACGTGTTAATAGATCTTTCTTTCTATGTTATTAACTGTGTCAAATTACCTGAGCTGACTGTACCAGTTTGCTATAGAGAGTCACTTTTCCTTGGTGAGTGAAGATTTTAGTCATCTTGGTAAAATGTGATTTTATTTTGTTCAGGTAAATTCCAAAGGCCTTCAGCTGTAAGGAAAAGTCAAAGGCTACAATGTACTAAAACAAATGAGCTGAAAAAGCAAATAATCTGAGAAGGCTGGTTCACCAAGCTTTGCCCATTCTAGACTCTGATTTCTAAGACAGGGCATTTCTCATTTGCAAATTTAATTCCATTTAATAGTTTACAAGCACAACCAAAAATTTTAATTTTGATTCCTGCTTTTAATTCACTTTATTTATATTACAAATTTAAAAATTACAGGCTCTTAATAAAACTCTTTTAATATATCAGGGCACATATGAAATGAGTAACTTATTATCTGATAAATTAAATCTTTCCTCATGTAAATCTAAGTGAAAGGCAAACTAAATAAACTTCAATTATATTTCATATATTAAATTGATAATTTCAGGTTTGAAAAAATTATGTATTAACAATTACTCATGTATACTTAAATAAATCCTTGGTAACATATACCTGAGAAGTAAGTTAAAGAACTCATTACTAATTACCAAGTAATAATTGTCTATTTCATAATAAGAATTGTTCAAAATGTCTATACTGATTCCCATTCAGAAAATGACACAAACATACCTCCTCATCAGAGCAATGTCTCATTTTCCCCCATAGGTTCCTGTTTACATCAGTCAACAGTTTATCTTGGTTCAATACAGAAAGCTTTAATCTAAAATACAGAAAAGTTAATTAGCATAGAGTTCAGAAGTCAGCTTCAAAGAATCAACTCAGATTTACAGGCATAGTAGATCTTCTTAGTTCTTTTTCTACATTAAAAGAGGGGAATTCACTAAAGAACAGTGACCAGCCTTATTATTTTTCAACACTTGTAGAACAGTTCAAGATTATGAACTGGCCAAAAAGCTTCTTGCCTGTCTGGCATGGCTCAGTGGTTGAGCGTCCATTCCTGGTCAGGGCACATGCCCAGGTTGCAGGCTCGATCCCCAGTGTAGGCAGTGCAAGAGGCAGCCAATCAATGATTCTCTCTCTCCCTCTCCCTTCCTCTCTAAAATCAAAAAAATCATATTTAAAAACAAAACAAAAATTCTCACAAATCAAAAAAGCTTCTTGCCTGGCTGGCATGGCTCAGTGGTTGAGCGTCCATTCCTGGTCAGGGCACATGCCCAGGTTGCAGGCTCGATCCCCAGTGTAGGCAGTGCAAGAGGCAGCCAATCAATGATTCTCTCTCTCCCTCTCCCTTCCTCTCTAAAATCAAAAAAATCATATTTAAAAACAAAACAAAAATTCTCACAAATAGAATTCTCAGCCTAATGTTATCAGCATCAGCTTTTTCCAATATGAAAACATGATGCTAATAAAGAATCTTTAAGACCCGTCAATGCATAATTGTGATGTTATTTACTTTTCTGTTAGTTCTCACTTGAGGATATTTTTTCCATTCTTTTCAGACACAGTGGGAGAGAGAAAAGGAAAGAGGGAAGGAGAGAGAAACATTGATGCAAGAGAGACACGTGGACTAGCTGCCTCCTGCATGTGCCTCGACCAGGGTTGGGGAGCAAACCCGCATCCCAGGTGTGTGCCCTTGACCGGGAATTGAACCCAAGACCCTTTGGTGCACAGGCCAGCGCTCTAACCACTGAGAGACACCCGCCAGAGCTGTAACTAGCCTATATAATAAAAGTCTAATATGCAGGTCGACCAAACAGCAGAATGACCAGTGGAATGACCGGCTGCTATAATGTGTACTGACCACCAGGGGACAGACGCTCAATGCAGGAGCTGCCCCCAGCTTGCAGGCCCCAGGCCAGCCAAGGTGGGTGCCAGCGGGGGCCCCCAATTAACCCACTGGTTGCCCCACAGATGGGTCCTGATCGCGGGCCAGGCCTAGGGACCCTACCTGTGGATGAATTTCATGCACCGGGCCTCTAGTTATTTTAAATAAAAGTTCTCAACTCAGTTCAAAGTCCTATCTCACCTTTACAGAATAGCATGTATAAAAGTAGCAAAGATATATATTATTAATCTTTTGTTAATAAGCACAAGAAATAAATCTCTACCAGAGTTCAAAGATATTATATACAGGCATAGAAGTGCAAAATCAAAGAGTAGACCACATCTAAACAGATTATTCATTGTATTTCATTCAAAATAAAACATTCTCAAACAAATTATCAGATGCCCAACTCATTTAAACATGAAGAAACTTGTCTGTCTTGTTCAGTGAAGAACCCCAGTACTTAAAATAGTACCTAGGCTTAACATATAGTAGGTGCTCAATATGTACATTTATTAAATAAACAAGCCATAATCAGGCAAATCTGCAGTATAATAACTTAACAGCATCTAAAGTCTCTATTTTTTAAAAAGTATATATTTTATTGATTTTTTACAGAGAGGAAGGGAGAGGGATAGAGTTAGAAACATTGATGCGAGAGAAATATCGATCAGCTGCCTTCTGCACGCCCCCTACTGGGGATGTGCCCACAACCAAGGTACATGCCCTTGACCAGAATCGAACCTGGGATCCTTCAGTCCGCAGGCCGACGCTCTATCCACTGAGCCAAACTGGTTAGGGCTAAAGTCTCTATTTTTAAAACTACATATTTTTCTGTTTGTTAGACTGGTTCAAATATAGTTGGATAGTTCTACATAAGTATAATATAAACATTATTTTGGGTTGCAAGTCCTGCCCTATCTTTGGGAATCTAGGTACACTGTATCAAATTTGTAAATTAGTCTGCAGCATCTATATATACCAAAGCACTAAACTACAGTCTGAGGAAAGGATGTTCTTTTATACGTGCATATCAAAGGCAAATGTGATAAAATTATAAACCCTAAGACATTCCTGATTTTAAGCACTATATATATAAGTCTATAAAGAGACATCTCTCTTTTGAAGATGTTCCTTTGCAATCAATTTATGATATCATAATTTAATAATTATTGTTCACTGAGGACACACTTTTTGCTAAAAATGGCATGAAAACATTTTATATACACTATTTTCTACTGTTCATATCTACCTGCTGAGTAGGTATTATTATTCCCAGTTTATAGATGTGGAAATAAAGGTTAAATGACTTACATCAGGGGGCCTCAAACTTTTTAAACAGGGGGCCAGTTCACTGTCCCTCAGGCTGTTGGAGGGCCGGACTATAGTTTAAAAAAAAACTATGAACAAATTCCGATGCACACTGCACATATCTTATTTTGAAGTAAAAAAACAAAATGGGAACAAATACAGTATTTGTATTTGCATGTGGCCTGCGGGCTGTAGTTTGAGAACCCCTGACTTACATAATGTTACATAGTTAGTGTCATAGACAGGATTAAGCTTCAATCTGAAAGCCAAAGCTCTTTCTATAAACATACTGTACTACACCACCGATAATGCCTCAACTTTTTTCTATAGTGTTATTCTCATCAAAACCTTACCACACAGATGTTCACCCATCCAACAAACACAAAAAAATGAAAACTTTCATACTCTTCAATCTTTTGGCAAAGAGCCTCACAATCTTCTCTATAAATCTGTATCTTGGGTCGGTAAACATATTGACTTAACATCAGATCTTCTGGAGTAGGTTGTGTATTTATGGTAAACTGAAAAAAAAAAACATATCAGTCCCTTAAAACTGGTATTTTGAGAACAAATCATGTTTAAGAACTGTTTCAAGTTTCAGAGTGCCTATTTTTAAAAGTTTTACAAAGAAAAATGTGAATACTCTATTAAAACTCTTATACCCCATAAAGGTGTAAGTTGGAATTTGAATTCAAGTCTCTGACATCAAAGTCCATTTTCCACAGATGTTTAGGGAACTGTATGTTCCACTCACATTGGATTTTAACACTAGATTGCCCAAGGAAGTCATTTTGACTGCTTTTTAATTTCAATTAGAAAAACAATGATGTATATAATGACAGAATTTCTTGGGGGGGAGGGGATTTTTAAAAAGTGCACAGAAGAAGAAGGCCGCCGAATTTTGAGGAACGATAGGACAACAACATTACCGGAAATACGTGCATTTATTGGGATTTTATATGCTTGTGGAGCCTACGAGGCAAAAAATTTAAAACTCAGTTATTTATGGTCAGCAAAGTAGGGTCCCGAATTTTTTAGAAAAACTATGGCCAGAGAAAAGTTCAACCAAATCCTACGATTTATTCGTTTTGACAAAAGAACCGAAAGAAGTAGGCACCTACAAACAAATAAGTTTGCCTTGGTTTCAGAAATATGAAACACTTTTTATCAATGACACTGTGGATACCAG